AATAACAAAAAGGAAAATTTACTTATTTTTAAAAAAACAGAACAAAATGGATTCCATTTTTCAATCACTAGATGGGTCCAATGGACCCTTTTATAAAGCTAAGATACATGATGGGATTATAGGTATTATTATTTTTCCTATATTTTGAAACATTTTGCCATTTCATCTCCCTAGGAATTATTTCATCATTACTCACCATTTATTCCCATTTATGCTAAAAAATTAAAATAAAAAACCAGAAAATGATACAATGATCTAAAAGGAAGAGGCAATAATAAAATAATCATTGTCGAGTTTCCTTATTGTGTTGTCCAAAGTATTACATGACCTTCCAGAAGGTATAAAAAGAAGACTGAAAATACCATCTTTGTGACTTGTTCTTAGTTTTCATTGAACACAGTTAAGAATTAATATTTTTTCATTTTGTGCCTATATGGTACTAGCAAAGTGGAGAAAATGGACAGAGGAAGACATGTTGCCACTGTCAGACAAATCAAAAGATAAATGCTGTGGCAGGCTAAAAAAATGGGCTCCCAAAGATATTCACTTCCTAGTTCCTGGAACCTGTGAGTATTACTTCATGTGACAAAAGAGTAAAAATTACCTTACATGGCAAAAGATGTGATTAAGATAAGAATTTCGAGAGGAGTTTATTCCAGATTATCCAGTTGTGCCCTAAGTGCAATCATATGTATCCTTTTAAGAGTGTGGCAGAGGAAGTTTTGAGAGAGAAGAGGAGGAAGTGGTATGATTATGGAGGCATAGAATGGAGCAGTGTGGCCACAAGCCAAGGAATGCCTACAGCCACCAGAAGTTGGAAGAGGCAAGGAACTGATCTCTAGAGACTCTTTAAGGAAGCAAGACCCTGCTGATACCTTGAACTTGGATGTCTGGCCTCCAGAAATATGAGAGAAGAAATTACTGTGGTTTTAAGCCACCCAGTTTGTGGCAGTGTGTTATGGCAGTCCTCGGAAACCAATACAAATGCAAAGACACACTCTAGAGTCTGGATAGTGAAACTGATCATATAAATAAAATCTCAGAGTATAAGTCTTCAGAAAAATACATTCTAGGTGAATTTTCTCAAAATCAAGAATCAATGAGTAAAAAATATATTTCTAAGGATAAAAAGGAAATATGACATTCTCATAGAGTTAATCGTTTCAACAGGAAGAACTTAATCACCCCAGTATTTTACAAATATCAGGAACATCCTGTGTTGCTAAAATAATATAACTATATTCTTTCAGCTTTTTATAATGTGAAACATATAATAGTCAAACATTACTTGATACAAAGAGGTTTACTATGTTTACATTCTTATGAAAAATTTTAAATAAAGTTGTTTTATTCAATCCCTTTTATTCCTCTGTAAATTATTCATAAAATGATTTAAAAATATTTGCCTCTGTGTGTGTGTGTTTGTGTATATGAGGGTATCTATTAAACCTGGACGATAAATAGTGATTCAAAAAAATGTTCTACATGCAGCTACTCTGAATTTTATAAGCTGGTCTACGCAGCACATGGTAACATTATAACGGTGGTTGTGAACAGCAGCAGCAGCAGCTCTCAAATTGGCTCAAAGTGCTATTCCCCTTAATGATGTCTATCCTAACACTGCTCTGCAAAAGCCAATTTTAAAGCAAATTCTGGCCTATTCACTATCTAAGAACCTTTTGTGGATTAGCACTGTACCAAGCACTGTAGAACTAAGATATTTTTATTAAAAAAAAAGAAAAATCACCCATAATATGCTGAAATAAAAAAAAAAAAAAGAAAAATCAAGGAGAACTCCCATAGAAACTCACTCCCCTGGGGATTATCTTCCAGGAGAAATCTCAACCATAATTTTATATTACCAACCTATAATTTCTCAATAACCACAAATGCAAAGTTAGAAAATGTTATCTTAATCTTACACATGAACAAGACACAACTCTGGTTCTAGTCACAACTGTCTATGGCCTTACTTAACTCAAGAGCTTAGGTTTTTAAAAATAGCCTCACACAACATCTATTTACATACAACTTTGTTAATATTAGTGCCATGAGAAACTGTCATCTTCAGCTTATTAAAGATGTAAACATTTCTTAAAATTTCATTAAGAATATTTATATATTATAGGATGTTTTCTCCTTTAACAAGTAATCCCACTTTCTTTGTAGTTTTTTGAAGGATAAAACACTATGACGGTTCTTATATAATATTCAATACAAAGTGGCATCCTTCTCCAGCTTCCACTAGGACAGAATTAAAACATAATCAGATTACTTTTCTGTTGAGGTACCCAGTAATGTAACTTATTATATGAATTATTCATATAAAAGGCTACAAAGGCATACAAATGTTCCTCTGGCAAACTTATGTTACAGAGAATAAAATGTGCTAAAAATCAAGGCTTAGTTTAATCTTAATAAAATCTTAGTTACCTCCTTAGTAACCTTATTAATAGAAATCTGGAATCTCTAGTTATCAGCTACTGATGGCATTAATTTAGGCAGTTAATTAGTAAAGACAACCCATTAAGCCTAATAGCATATGGTCAAACAACAATTATAAAAATCACAAGGACAACCACAAATCTCTTTCTTAAACACTGAACAGTGAATTAAAAACCACAATCAAGCATTTCCGCTTTATTAAATTGTTATATAAACATTCTGATGTTGTGGTTTACCCTGGACTAATGAGGCATTCTGATTGATTTCTAGTGTTACTGAGAAAGATGCAAAACTGAGTCATTAACACAGCATTCCCTTGTGAAAAAAGACAAACCAGGATGATTAAAGCAATGTTGAAAGAACTGAAAACCCTGAAATTGGACATAATTTTTTGCCCTTTTATCTGTCTGCAAAGTCCATGTAATTCTTTACATGTGTTAGTTCATTTTAAAAATACTCCGTGATGATTTTTTTCTCTTTAACAATATGTCAGTGGTTGAAACCAAAAAAACATGGTATCGAACCATTTTGTACAGAGTATAATGGAAAAGAAAAAAATAAGAGGAAAAACTTTCAAGTTTCCAAAACAGAGTATTTTCTTTAAAATATTCATAAGCTTTCAAAAAATAACTAGATCCTCTTACTCTGATGAAAACTGAAGTAAGAACTAGGCTTCAATCACATAAGGACCATATCAGATAATCAAAAATTTTAATGGAAAGAACATAGACTTGGCGTTAGAATAATAGAATTTTGGGGCAAGTCACTCAGACATTCACTTTGCTAGATCTTGAACAATAACAAAAAGAGTTCCAAACATTAAATAGCTGATGGTTTAGCAGGAAAGACTAAAATGTAAATAAATAATTCAAGAACTGCTCTAACAGGCATGTGAACAAGGTTAACTGGTAGGGTAGAGTAAAGGAAGATTTCACAGAAGAGGGCACAGTTGAGTCAGCACAAAAGAGAAATAAATACAACACCTATCAGGGTAGTTATGAGGCTTAAATGACAATAAACATAAAAGCTCCTGGACCAGTTAGCAAGAAGCTTTAATTAAATCATACTCCTTGTTTATAGTTCAATTTCCCCAACTCACCGAGCGTATGAATAGTCTAGGCTGGCCTGATCGATCCGGTTCCTGAGGATTCCAATGTCAGCTGACACCATGTCATCTAAAGCCTGCAACTCCTTCTGGATCCGCTTTAGTTTTATGGTCTCTGCCTGAGTTCTTTTGGATCTTGAACATCACGAATGTGAGTAGGGAAAAATAAAAACGTTTTAAAACCATGTATCCATATATAAGTAAAAAAACAATAAATATACTATGTATATGATTATAATTTATGATTTTTTGGAAATTAGAAAAAAATGAGAAAAATTGAAATAAAATAAATGCTGGTAACATTTGAGCTTTTTCCCCTTATTTTTCCAGATTTCCTATTATATTATTTTCATAAGGTAAAAAGACTTTTAAAAAAATTCCAGTAAACAGTTCACTTGTAGATCTATATTCAGTAAGGAGAACAAACACTGAAGGAATGTATCTGTATTCCCTTTACACTGAAACATCCAAAACAGCTTTCCAAATTTCTAGGCTTAAATTCTTCTTCTCGCTAAGCCCATTTTTGTTTGTCTGATATTTATCTGAGAGATGATCAAGAAAAGATGCCTGCATTAAACAATTCTTTATATATCTGAAAACATCTACTTGGTCTTAACTTTCTTAGGACCCCAACTTTTATTTCTTTGATTCTTATTCTCTAGGAAAAACTACAGGTCCTCAAAATTCTTTGTGGGGCTCAAAACCAAAACACTGTTTTCTTTCCTTGTTTAAAAGCACAACCAACCTCATCATCCTCCACTCCCCTCACTACACCCAAGTACAGTATATACTTAAGAAACAGAACAAGAAAATACAAAAGCAAACCTTTAATCATGATTTCACTTGTTTCAAAATTTCACACACATTCTCAAGGGAGAAGAAAACCCCCCACAAAAAATCACTATATTGCAACTTACATTCTTCTGATTTCTATTCCATTGTGCAATACCCTTCCTTTCTGCCTACAAATTCACTTACCAGTATGATTCTTTTACTTCAAGTACTTCACTATCCATTTATTAATAATCTAAGCATGTCGTATTTCCTTACATTTTTGTTGTATCAGTGCTTTCTGTCCTAAATCAAAAGCACTTAGAGAAGTCCTGAGCCTATAAATCTTTTTGTAAAATCTCCAGTAAACAACCTCTCCACCTTGTCCAAATTGAAGACTACTAAAACACTATTTTTTAATATTCACTTGTGGGATTAAAAAAAAGGGACACTACTCTTTTACATGTTGTTTTGTTTTCTTGAAACATAAGTTTGTGAGTTGTATATTTCCTAAGCTTCATGAAAGATCAAAGTATTCCAGTAGTAAAAAAAAAAAAAGCCATTTTCAAATACATACATCTCTCTGGCAGACAAAATTCTGAATTATTCTTACACCCACCTACCTTCTCCCTGACTCTTTCCCTCCCTCTACACATACTCCAGCTTCAAGCATTAACAGTTTTGTCAGAATTTTCTGGAGGTCTAAAAAGAAAATGTCACTGAATACTTGCTTATGTTTAGTTCTGGCTATTTGCAACCACTGCTTTATTGACAGAGCTTAGTTTCCTAAGGCCATAGGAGATTAGACAGAAATTACGAACTAAGGGGGCAGCAAGAGTGGTGGGGGATGGGAAGAGCGTCTCCAATGGGAAAGTTCCTGTTTGGGGCCTGGTACAATGCAGTAAATGAAAGGGAGGTGAGCTAGACACTGGGAGATGAGACAAAAATTCAATCTCACATAGTGCTCACAATAGTGACCCCAAGTCATCAATCGAAGGTTAAATTATATCATGTATCCTCTATGAATGGAGGCAGGGTAAATTATTAAAGAAAAATGCCCATAGGAAACACAATTAAGATTTGTGGGAGTGTAAGTCACTTATGCGGAATAACCTTTTTCATCTACATACCAGATGATTAAGGGCTCCCCATATCAAAATTATAACCTGCATTTGTTGCTAATTTATATATACTGAGTGCTATTCATTGCTTCTCTTATGAATGTGTAGATGGTTAAAACTGAAAACACTAATGCTGGTCCTTAAGTTTTAATTGTCAACTGTATTTATAAAGTAAATATGCTCTATGCTTAGAAAGTTCTCCTTAATAAATTAAAACCAAAATTTCAGTATCACTTACAAAGCATAATTTGTTTATTAGCCTTAAAAGTTATAGTTGCAGAGAAAATATCAGTTTATTAGAACGGACATGGGAAAATAAATATAAACTATGAAAGAACTGACTGTAGGTTACAAACAACCACTCCTGGTTCAGATGCCTCACCTTTCTGCAATAGCTTTAGCCAAAAGAGCTTTCTTACGTTTATTTTTCTCTTCCATCAGCCGTTGTTCTTGTTGGAGGACTTCCCAACGGGATTTCTCTTGCCTGGGGAGCAAAAAAAAAAAAACATAAAAATGAGTTTATGAAAGAGACTGCTACCCTACCCCACACCTTACCAGTCTCGGTCCTCTAAGTATAAAATTTAATCAAGAAGATTTATGTACATTTTCTTTCAAAAGTCCTCTTAGAAGAAACCCATCTGCAGTTCATTATTTTGTTCTAATAGGAACAAAGACTATGATCTGAAGTAAAGAGGCTTACATAAATTGGACCCTTGAAATCCATTATATATATATAATCTAGGAACCCACAAACTGGAAGCCAGAGTACTGTGGCATTTTTTAGGAGTACAAAGGAATTTGTATAAGTTAATTATGTATTATATGCAAAGTGGAGACCAAAATAAATTGGTCTGTAGTTGATGTCATATTATTTATATGTTTTAGTTTTCTATAATGAAAGTCTCTACCATCTTATCCTCCAGACAATAACCAATGTTTATTTCATATATTTACTTTCAATTCGTTTACTTTTTTCCAATCCTTAGATATTTTTAAACAAAGTAAAACACTATGAGCTAAGACTGGAATGTTGGGCTTCAGAAAAACTTCAAAGATCTGAAAACATGTATTGTCTTCCAATCTATCTGATTCTGAAAGAAATATATTAAAATTTTCCATAAAGTCATGAACTTGATGTCAACTCAAATTAAACAAGGTGATGGCAAAGTTACTTATTCTTATTACTGCTTTTCTTACAGCCATTATACCACAAGTCTCTACTTCCAAACCTAGTGACCACTTCCAAAATTGTCTTTCTCTCTCCATTCCTACAGCTTCCACCTTAGAGTTCAGGCTGGTCATTTCTCATTTTGATACTGCAGTCGTTTCCTCACCAGGCGCCTCAGTTCCAGCTCACCCTGCACTCTCACCCCAGTGATCTCCAACACCGACACCTGGAATTTCTCTAACCATTATTTTGATCGAGGCCCTCTCAGAGGCCTTGGACGTATCTTGCTGCATGAGTGAACCTGTTAGGCTTCCAGTCCTTCCTCATCACTTTAATTCTCTACTGTTCTCTGGTTTATCCTTTTCCCTTCCCAGAGAAGTGAGATGTCATCTCTGAGCATTCTCTGTGACAGCTTTCCTTTCCCCTTCTTACAACCTCAGAATTTCTCGTTTACAGGAATGGTTCCTCAGATTACATGTCTTCTGTGAAAATTCTCCCAAGTATCTTAAAAAAAAGAATAATTTTCCTGATGACATCCAATCTAAATTATCTAGCTCAATTTAAACTCACCTCCCACTTGTCTCAGGCCTTTGCTGGTAAACTACACTTACAAGACATTTAAATTAAAGCACTTTTTCAATGTTGGTTTCATAATTCATGTGGTTTTATTTCTCTTGTCGAAATGGTTTCTTAGTTGTAAACCCCTAGTGGGCAGGAAATATTTTAAATTTGTGGTATAGACTTATATATCAGCAGAGATTAGAAAAATATCACCAATTAGAAAAAATACAAGAAAAATATAAGACTCAGAGAAGGGAAAACAGAAATAAATGCCATCCTTTCTCCCCTGTGAGCAATAAATCAGGAGGAAAAAAAAATAATAGTATGTATTAAAACATAAGTGACCAAATAAAAAATTCTAAGAATTCATGAGTCACAGAATGGCTATTTCCACAAGAGTGTGGCTAAATTAAATTATGTAGGCTGTTTTTAATACAAAGACAATAAAGAAAGAATAAAAAGAAATCAAATGATGCAACTGAATTATATAACTAGTCCCCTTGATTTCCTATACTCTCTCCGTTGACCAACCCTTCGTGTCTCTTCACAAGCACCCTGTTTTTGGCCAATGGAGATGCAGTCTACAGGGTGAAATATGGGATCAATTTGGGGGACAATACCATGCAAATAAGAACCGATTCTGACTAAAGGGCACAGACTTTGTATCCAGACAGACTTACATGTAATCACAACTCTACTACTTACTAGCTGTGTTTTAGCTTTAGGAAGACAGTATCTTTTCTGAGTCCCAGATACTTCATCTATAGAGTTAAAATAATAAACATGAATTGTAAAACTGTTATGAAGAGTAACTGGCATAAAACATATAAAATGCCTAACAGTGCCTGGCTTATATTTAGGTGGTAGTTATTTTTTAATAGTTTATTCATCACATTTCTAGGCTTGAATGTAAAACAGAGAAAATGTTAAAACATACAAACTATATTTTCTCAAAGCCCAGTGGAAAAAAAGGGTAAAATGAAAAGTCTCATGGTATATAGACTTACTAACAATTCCACTTTCTTTTTCTCCAATTTGCAATCTGGCTTTGGGGATAGAACCTCAACATTTTTGTGACCATCATGGGAATTCTTGAGTCCTGGTTCCTTTGGTTGACTTTCAATACCCTGTGGTTTTCCATCACCAACAGGACAGGTGAGAGTAAGAGGACTAGGAAGAGTAGGGGAAGAAAAATGTGGTTTTTGAGCGTTACATCTTTGTTCTGGTGCAGAAAGCAACTGCTCTGGAGGTACTGAGGCTGACCCATCTTGTAACCCAAGTTTTTGGCTTTGCTCTAGAAGGGCTTTTTCTCGCTGAAGTTGTTGTCGACTTTTCTTCACTGGGAGACGCCGCTGTGATTCAAATGGATCTATAGAAAAGAAAATGAAGGAAAATTCATTTGTTTGAGCAATAAATTAGAATTTCTCTAAGCAAATAAAACATTAACATTAAACTTGGATAATTCTAGAGTTTCCCCTACACCATTCTCTCTCTTAAGAGCCATCTTTCTGTAGAGTTTCAATAGTTCTCAGATCATACTGTCAATATTTAATAAAAGCTGCCCAGGCTCTTAATGTATCTTTAGAGAAAAACCAATTGCTGTGAGTTGGGCCGTAGGACACAAAGCAAGGTTTCTTTTTCAACTTGATTTGATAATTGTCAAAGAATCAAGTAATTTTGACCAAACTAGAGAGATAACTGAATTCTCTGGTATGTCTTAAATTTGATTTATGGTTCTGTCTGCTCCCTTGAAATGAAATGGTAGCTGTGTTTTCAAATGGGATTCCCCTCTCTTAAATTTTAACAGCTTTTAGGGCAATTTGATACATATTTAGATGCTATCACAGAAAGGTAATTGAGTGAAGTCTCTTATCTCTAGGGACGCTAGTTAACCGTAAATCATTTTCTTTCATATTGCAAAACAACCCAAGGTTGTATTCCCCAAAGTCTAGTCAGGCTCTAATCAATGCAGTCAAACTAATTTAACAGCAGCCTGAACAAAGCAATAGAGGAAGATAAAACTAGAAGAAAAAAATTTTGAAGGATAAACTAACTAATAATACTTCTATTACACTTTTCGGATTGTGTATGCCAGTGTTAACCTCTTAGGGCAGACAACTGGAGAATATGACTCACATTCATATTAGATCTATAAGTAGCATTCTTTATAAAATGCTGGGGAATTGAAGTTATGATAAGTCTTTGTAAATGAACAACACAAATAAAACTTTTAAATTCTGCATACTGACCTTTGAAGCAACACAAGCTTATTATTTAAATTTCCCAAAGTAAAGAGCTCTGGACACAGTCCCAGCTTTGCTTATGTCCAGCTCAGTGACCTCGGGCAAGCCAATTAATTATTTGATACCTCAGTTTCCTCATCTTTCAAACTGGTTGAAAATTACCTGCTCTACTTTACGCATTAAGTTGCTTTAAGAATTAAATGAGATATGTATGGAAAATATTTTTTAGAGAGACAGAAGTACTATCAAAACAAATGTTATTATTGATTTTAGCCAGAAACATAAAGTATCTCCCTGCATCTTGCTATAGGAACTTTTTCTTGGCTACTGATC